AAAAATCAGTGAGCTCGTAATGTTTTGTTTTTATAGAGAAAAAAAAATTCAAATATTTTTTTTTTATTTTGCGTTTATTTATACTGTATTTAACTTTTTTTTAAAAAATATAAATTCTTAAGTATTTTTTTTTTCATATTATTTGGCAAATGCCAGGTGGTAGATATGAACTTAAACATTTGATATTGATTACGTTGTTTTCCTTTCCGCGTTCTTATATTTCATAGATATACAAGTATATTTTATATAAAGGAATGAATAAGGGGATTGGGGTTAGAAATATTTAAATCTATCTATCTATCTATCTATCTATCTATCTATCTATCTATCTAAGTCTGTTCATATCTATCTATCCATGTATCTTTTAGATACATACGATAGTAAGCATTTTTTAATCATTGTACTCAGTAACGAGAGAGTGAACTTACTTTCCTGATGATAAAATCCAAATATAGAAACTACCCCTTACATCTATCTATCTATCTATCTATCTATCTATCTATCTATCTATCTATCTATCTATCTATCTATCTCAGTCTCTTCAAATCTATCTTATGTGATACGTCTACTTTTATGATAATTAGATTTTATTCACACACACACAAACATATATATATATATATATATATATATATATATATATATGTGTGTGTATGTGTGCGTGTGCGTGTGTGTGTGTGTGTGTGTGTGTGTGTATGTGTGTCAAGCGTTTTTTAATCATTATACACGGTAACAACAGATAGGATTCGTCTTTCCTGATAATAAAATCCAAGTTTTGAATCGACACAATTATCTCCTTTCCTCCTGTCTCTGTCTGTCTGTCTCTTTCTCGTCTCTCCCTCTCTTTTCTCTCTCTCTCTCTCTCTCTCTCTATATATATATATATATATATATATATATATACCGGGTATCTGTCTATATTTCTGAGATGAGGTATTATGTACGCTATTTACATTATTCGGAATATTGTCCTCATCTTTGTCGCCATATTTATTACAATGTTTTAGCCGTTGTACCCTCCGGCCTTCTTCAGGTGGTTGGAATGTCCTCAAGGACACATGGCACAGTGGATAAAGGTGTTAGTTAGATCCAGTGACAGGACCCAAAGTTTAATACCTGGTTAAGGCGGCGGAGAACTTTGAGAGGGGAATTAACAGGAGATAACTGACATCCATTAGACATGGCACGTGGAACTAGAACAGTCGTTTTATGAGAAAAATCAGATTCCTGTCTAATCCCTCGATGTGCGAAACTTTTTATGAAAATAAACTTAAATTTTGATCAGTGTGAAAATGCTTGGCAGAATTATTGTTAATGGTGTGTTTCGGGGCTGAGGGTGAGGTTGTAAACACTGAAAAAGAGCGTTCTAGGATCGGGAATGGGAAAGACGTTCGCGTGTAGCATGTTGTAGCAAAAATTGACAGATCACGTGGTGGAATGTTGAAAGCCAGGCAACTACTGTTGGAATATGTTGTGATGCAAAGAAAGAAAGAAAGAAAAAGAGAAACAAAGAAAAAAAGAAAAGAAAGAAAAACGGTGAACTTAGAAGAGAATATATAATAATAAAAAAATGAAATAAAATGAAATAAATCTAAAATATTATGATGGAACAAAATTATTGTTAAAAAAGACGAAATTTATTGTCAAAAATATTTTAATAAAATAATGGAAAAACTGAGTGGAAAAAAAGCCTACGTACATAGATGCACATGCGTACATATGAGCACATATCTATGTACATACCTATAAGTTTACACAAAATATATATACCGCCATACACGTTTAGATATAAATACATGTATAGAAGTCAATATGTATCTTCACTACGTTTCCCCACTCATTACATAAGCTCGTATGTAAAAGAGCCTTAGTGATAGATTCTATCACTTTCTAAGAGAAAGGTTATTAAGAAGGGGGAACAATAGAAGAGTAATTAAGAATAGATAGCGATTGAGATTGCATTTTAATTTTTGAAGATCAAAGTTGGCTGGAAAGCAAGAAGGCGGAAGAGAGTTCCACAAGAGAGAAGTGCGATAGAAGAAACTGTTAGCATAGAACTTACGGTTGAATCTAGCCATTTCAAATGATGAGACCTTGCCACGAATCTAGTACTGAGCTTGAATCCGTAGATTCTAGAGACCACTGTGCAAAGTTTTATCAGAACAATTAACGTGAAAGAATTTATAGAAACGGCAGAGGGAAGCAACATGACGGCGGCGTGAACGTGACTGAAACCGAGATGCCAGGACCAATGATATTGTAGATTCTTCTTTCGATTTTATCAGAAATCTCTAGATATATACTCGGAAGGGGATTCCACAAGCGAGAAGTGTAAGAGAAGAAGGAAAATGTGCAACTTTTACAGGAAGAAAGCTGCAAAAACTGGTATTAACATCACCCAGAACCGATTACAGAGATAAGATCTGTAACAATTTTATGGGCCTTTACAATACACACAGACAGAACAATCAAATCTAATCGCCCAGACATCGTGATCAAACCGCGCAAAAAAACAGAATATGATTTCTGATTGACATGGCAGTCCTTGCAGATTGTAATATATCTTTGAAGATCTTCAAAAAGCTATCAAAGTACAAGGCTCTTGAAGTGGTAATCTAAAAAATGTGGCACATGAGGGCATCAGTAATTTTAATTGTATTTGGAACACTCGGATTGACTGGAAAATATTCAGATAAAGACATTGAAGGGATTCCTGGTAACCTATGCCTTAAAGAAATATAGAAAATGTATTCACAAGTACAGTTCCCATATTATGAAGAGTTTTAACTATTTAAAATATGTGTGATCTTAGGTTTTTGTTTTTTGTTTTAGTGGAAAATATCATGAAAGGAAATAATAATAATAATAATAATAATAATAATAATAATAATGATAATAATGATAATAATAAGATGATGATGATGATGATGATGATGATGGAAAGAAAAGGTTAGCTTAAGGAATTCGAGCTATTAATGCCAGTGCAACAGGGACAGACAGATTAAAAATTTGTAATATGGTACAATTGCAGTATTTCGCAAATAAGATTTCGGTGGGAGTTGCGGATTAACCGGACGATAGGAAAACCTAAGTACTTATATATCGGGATTCTTGATAGGCTCCAGAGGCGGATATGCAATATAATTGGCCCTGTTCTGGCATCTCGTCTACAGACACTTTCTCACAGACGCGCCGTCGCCTCTCTCTCTGTCTGTTTTACAAATATTTTCATGCCAATTGCTCCGAGGAGCTGAATTCGCTGATTAAATTGAATTAAAGTACCACGCTCTGTTCCATCTTCAAAAAAATTTCGCTTGAAGATGGAACAGAGTTTGATACTTTAATTCAAATAATTCAAATAATTATATTGACGTTTTCAGCTCTTGTTTTGAAACATGAGAACTCTTATGTAGCGTTGGAATCATGTTTTTAAATAAATAATTATATATATATATATATATATATATATATATATATAATTATTATTTTTTAAGAGTTAAAGTATCAAGGCCTGTTTATGAATGCCATCATTCGCTTTGAAATGGATGCCCCCACCCTATCTCAGCTTGACCTCTTGCCGAAGGTGACTGATATATGGATAAAAATTATCTTAGACCCCTTACCAAAATGGTCGACCCACCCGTTTCCATAGTAATTAATTTTGCGAATGAAAATGCTTATAAAATGGTGTAAATTTCAAGATCGATTATTCCTAAATTTTCGCTTGAGGAGGAAACAGGGCTTGATACTTTGATACTCAATTTAATTTTAATAATTATATTGAGGTTTTCGGCTCTCGTTTTTGAAACATGGTGACTCTTATGTAGCGAAGAAATCATATTTTTTTAAAAAATAATTATAATTTAAACTCTACTTCTGTATGGAGCACTGTTTTTTAAAATAAAACGAAAAATACTAAAGAACTCCGGATTATTTACCTAACGTGTTCTTTCCTATTTTTCTATATATATTTTTATATATATATATATATATATATATATATATATATATATATATATATATATATATGGTGAACTATAATTAATATATATCAGAACTATACTTAAACGAATTAGATTTAATCAGAGTGTTTCATAAATTTATCAAAATTTGCAAAACATCTTTTACTTCAGATTTCATAGTAAAAGACTGTAACAAACACCAATTTAGAAAGCCTGGAAGTAATGGCATTTTTATGAGGGATAAGAACGATAGCATTCTGACTATGAGATCCGGGTTCGAATCTCACCAGGGTCGATCTGTCAGGAAGGAGACTTTCTGATGTTATCGGACTGGTGTGGTTGGACCAAACCTTGTGAGTGAAATTAAGTAGATGGAGCCCTTAGGGGCCGTCGATAGCTGTGTTAGCACAAAGTCACAAGTCATCGTGGCCGAGGGCTTGAGCGTGCTGGTCTTGTTCAAATTGTTGATCAAGCTAGATAATAACGCTCTCTCCCAGAAACTGTAACTAAGGTCTGCTCAGCATAGTTGCAGTATAAACCACAGGTGGGCTCTGTGGGTGTTGAACAAACACAAATGTGTCTGAGCAAGCGTCTGCAATAGGGATTGGCTAGCCGCCCTAGTAGACGTGTCGAATACGAGTGGCCAGTTATACATACTACTAACAGCGAAATAATTGAAAATCTTTCAAAATATAAAGATCTGGAGATAGAAATTATTAGGATCTGACATTAAAAACAACAGCCACCCCCCCAAAAAAAAACACATAAAAACTACCCCAGTAATAATAGAAGGCCTAGGAATAATTAAAAAGAACTGTGACGCTCACCTGGAGAAAATTCCACGAACACCCCGCACTCAGTGTAATTTCCTCGGTACCTTTCTAAATAAGTTGGGTGTCAGGTAAGAAATTGGTAAAGAACTGTATCGAACCACTAATCAGAAAAATTAGAAATAATAATAATAATAATGGAAAAGTTTATTGAGCCTTATTTGTGATAAAAAGCGAAAATAATAAGACGGTGTAAAACTAAAAAAGA